ACACACACACACACACACACAGAGTTCACATCTTCCAAGCACGGCCTTGCTTCGAAGCCGACATACACGTGCCCAACATAACTGGTTCCAGCGATCGTTTTGGGCTGTCTCACATTGAAGACTGGGGGTTGAAGCCGGGGTCCCAAGTTCAGGAATCCGACTGCATGCAGATCCCCTATTCACAGATTGACGTGGCATTTGGGGGCAGGGGAGTCGCCACCGTGTCAACTGCAGTGGTGCATTGGGGACTCGGACGCGGGCCCTAACGAATGGCTAAGGCCTCGTTCCCCAGCCACAGCAATGAAGCACATGCAAGTGAAAGAAGGCGCGAACCTGGACACTGCTCTGGCCAGGCTCAAGGATGTTGGTGCATCGTTCAAGAGCAGGCTGGTTGCTTCACCCAACTTCACTGGTTTTGGGGAGCAGTGGGCAAGGTTAACACGGACAGCACATGTCAGAGTCCACTTTCACTTCCTCATATGGCGTTGGACGTCATGAATACCTTCGAGCAATTGATAAAATAGGGGCCCGTTAGACACTCCTTGTGGCATCCTCGGGGCCGAAAGAAGTTTCCTTCGGGGTTTTGAAGGAAATTCTCGCCGTCGTTCCACCTATCCTCGGGTTGGTCTCCCAAGGATGATTCCTTTTGGCCCCCGGCGGCCATTTTCATAATATTATATTCGGCTGTGGGGGGGGGGGCAATGCCTTGGTCCATTGGGTGATGTCCTTCTCGCTACAGTGTGGTCCAGCTGCCGAAGGCGGGAAATTTTGAAAGGCGCTGGCGACGGGAAAAAAGAAAAACCTTAAAAAGCAATGGACCTCCCCATTCGAAAATCAAATTTCGAATTGGGTGCTGGATGTCACGACGGCAATGCGGGGCAGGTGGAGTCCATACTGACGATGGTGGAAATGGGCATTTGCAGCGGCACAGTGGAGTCGTCGTAAGTCGTCACGAATTTGTGAGCACCCCGCAAAGGTCCATTGTCATCGCCTCCTCCCGCCGCCGTGCGTATGTGTGGAGTCGAGCACACGCGGGGAACGTCATCGGCGACTTGGCGCTGAGGTTACCGTGGTCGTGGCGATTCGTAGGCTGTTGTATTTTTGTGGTTCATGAGCATTGCAACACACGTGCCAATGGAGGGCGGCAGCGACGACGGACGTGCGAAGTTGACGACAATCGAGAAGACGGTCGTGACGGTCGTGCTCTTCGTTGTCAGCAGGAGAGGGCATTGGGCAGAATGAGAGCGCAGATCTGCGCGCGGAGGAGGAAGACGCTTCATCAAGTCCCGGTTGAAGGGTTGGATACCGTGGCCATCATCGAGGCTGTAGTTCAGGATTGCTGCACCATGGGTTACAGTGTTCTTCCACAAGCGACGCCGAGGTGGTGGATGAAAAGGAGGATAGGGGGGGCGTGGGAGGATCTCCGGCGATGCGATGACGCGGTGGAGTACTTCCGGGAGAAGCTTCGTATGTCGCCATATGTCTTTCGGGCGATGGCAATTGCTTCCAGTGTGAACGAACGCCCGCGGGACGCGTGGCCGATGTCAATGTCGACTGCAGTCGGTGTCGATCCCTCGTCTTCTGTGCTGGAGGCCTTAGATAGAGGTCGGCCATCAGCGATAGAGGATGCACACGTGGAACAAGAGGACCACCACAAGCAAAATCGTGAATAGGAGCAGCAGTGGCAGCCTTCAATAGAGGTCGGCCATCAACGACACGTACGACAGGGTCGTAACTCCACGATGACGGTGAAGGTCCACCGAACGGCGATGATGAAGGGAGCAAACGGTAGAGGACAGCATACGGCACACGCACTCTAACGGGTCGTACGCCCTTGCACTGCGAGTCAAGACGTGGCCTGCGTGGTGGCTCGTGGAGTGGTCCACTGAAGACCAGCTCTTCGCCTGCCGTTTGTCCATGATGATGCCCTTCTTCGCAGAACGCCTCTTGTGTGTGCGTCCAAACAGCTTGAAGAGGATGCAGATGTAGAAGACGATTAGAAGGACAAACAAAATGATTACCAAGAGCAGCAGCGGAAGCCTTGGCAAGACGTCGGCCATGAACGACACGTAGGGAAGAGCAGTAACTACGCGACGTCGGTACACCTCCACCACACAATGACGAAGAGGGCAGCAAACGGCAGACCGCAGCATCCGATAAATGCCCTCTAACATTTTACATCGCCGAGTACAGTGGGGAATCGAAAGGTGGGTCGGCTAAAATATTCAATTTTGTCGACCGTTGAAGCCCTTTTCGTTTGGCGGCACGCAGTGCGAGGGAGAACACCAGTTGAAGACGTTCGCGGAGGCCGTCCGGCCACCAACGGTTACCATTGGCGTAAGGATCCTGGAAGTCGAACGCTGACGACCCAAGATGTCTGTGTGGTGGCCGGTAGATACTTCAATGTTCTTGGCGACGATGGGTGCCCTCGCCGCTCCGATTATCGTGGATCCTTGACCTTTGAGCGACCTCGGGAGGTACCTTGGGGAAGTCCTCAAAATGGTTGTAGCCCGAGAATGGCCCGAGGATTCTAGGAGGAAATGTTTTCACTTTTTTTTTTTTTTTTTTCATCCCCGAGGATAGGTGGAATGATAATTTCCTCAAAGACTTTAGGTGGCGGAGGAGTGTCTAACGAGCCCCATAGCTTTGCATTATAAAATAGAATGAAAGGTGGGAAAATATATAAACACACATTAAAAATTTACACTACTGATTTCTTTCGATTTAAGAAAGGCATTTTCCTCCCTCTATCTCGACATGCCTACGCCTCTTTGTTATTGTTATCCCTTTTTTCCCTTTTTTTCCCCCTTCTTTCCCTTTTTTTTTCTTTTTTTTTTTTTCTAATCAAGGCTCCATTCTACTTGTGGGGAGCAGCACGTGCTGGGAACCAAGCCCAGGATTCGTTATAAATAAGTTAAAGTTGGTCGGGGTCGGGGTCCCCACAGTGTACCCGGAGAAAATCAAGGTGAGCCGAGAGCATCACTCGGTTTAGCTTACAAAGAAGTGGCTTTGCTGGAAACCGAGTCCAGCGTCCCTTCAGACTTTATCAGCCCATTAGTGATCTGCCTGCAGAACCTCTCAGCCCCAGGGCTGCCGAATCTACATGTCCTGCCAGTTCTTTATGTCGAGATCACCTAGTTATCACAAAAATCCCTTGAAGAAAAAACAGCTTACTAGAAATTCTGGATCTAGTCCTTTGATGACAAATGTTTGATATTGAACTTACTTATTCCTACATAATTTTGCTCAACCATGGACCCAACACTGCTTTTTCATTCTCATCTAAAGTAGCTAATTTGTTATCCAGTCCTCAGGTTTTAATGAACCAAATTGGACCTTTTCGCTTTCTGTCCACCACGATGGTGAATCTTAGGTGCATTTCGATTTATGCCTACATTTATCCTTTCCCTGGCATCTCTCCCTTGAACAGCGCATTGTTTCTGGACTACCATATTGCATTCATGATAATGCCTCCGGAAACCTGGCGTACATATCCCCAACCTGAGACACAGTTATTCACAGTTGGGCAAATTTCAGTTTCAATCCAGTTATATGTCCATTGGAAGGCTTCCGATGAGAAGGTTTTCCAATGCTTTCTCCAACATTGTCAAATTCTCTGAAAGTAAGGACATTGGATCATATTTGAGTTGTTGTTTCCCAGGCCCATCGGCACCTTTGATCACGCCCAGAGAACCTCCATCTGTTTGGAATTCAGTCATTATGCCGACGGAATAACATTCAGTATTTGTAGTCATATGAGACTTGAAATTCTTTGTTCTGGTAGTTTCTTGAGTTGCTTCCATAATCTCGTCACTCCCTCTTTTGTCATGCCTTGGGGATGTTTGCCAGTCCATCTTTTCACTGTTGTTTCCGTGGGTTTCTTTTGGGATGCATTTCTTTGTACGAAATTCCCAATTCTCGGTTTGTAGTGTGACAGGGGCACTAAATTTCCCCCGTCACTCTTCAACTTCCATCCTTGGAGGAATGGCTCTACTAGATAAGTGTCTATGTTTCTGCCTATATTGCAAAGTTATTTTCCAGTTTTGTCGAATTTGGACCATACTCGAACTTTTGTGGTCTCCTCCCAATCTGACCCAAGATGCTCTTGTGTCTCCTCTACAAATTTGAGGGGTTTATCGTTGGGAGAATTGTCAGAGGATGACAATTTCTGAACTTCATAGTCAGATGGAATGTCTGGGCCAATAACTCTTCAAACACAGTTAGTATATCCTTCCCTTTTTAACCATGTGTTGTAGACCTGTAGGGCTGGTTTCTTAAGTGTGTGTTTCCCAGTATCTAGGCATAGCAACTATTAAACTCTCTAGGTTCCTACGAATATTGTGCAATCTTGGCAGGTTTGTTCTCAGGCCTTCCAGTGAGATCCAGTCATTTTCCATGTGATCCCATAGATCTCCCACCTGGATGATTCCCTTGGTCATTCATGCTTGACCGAAACTACCTTTGGTATCCATGGCTTAGAAAGATGAAGACTCATCTAGCATGATTAGGGGATTCTCAAACAGTGTTTGAAGTAGGATTTCATATTTGGTGTTGTTTTTTTTCTCGAACTGATGGCTGGAGTTCCTTATAGGCAAACAAGAGGTTTCTCCAAAGCTTGTTTTTTTGTCTTTTTCTCATAAAGGAAGGAACTTCCAAACACCTTCATATGTCTCTTGGTGTGGTTAGATTCCAATCTTTTCCTAAAATATATTAACAAGTTTTTTCCACATTTGGTTTTATTGTTCCAACATCCCTTTAATCATTTATTTGGTAAGTAGGACTCTGTTTTGCAGGTTGGGATGTAGGATTCCCAGCCCCCCTTGGTCTCTTTCTGTTGTGAGGATTTCCCAAGCGACTTTAGGCATAATACCTTGATCTTCTCCAGCTTTGGGTTTCCATAGGTATCTAGCTTGTACCTTTCTTACGGTCTTGTATGCCGCCTCGCCTAGGAGGTGGTTAGGGGCAGGTAAATGATAGAATTGAAAATGTTGCAGATGATAAGACCAGTGTCCTCCCGAATAGGGAGAGCGAATACGATTTCTCCCATTTGGTTGTTCGATATATGACTTTGGACGCCAACAGGATGTCTTGTGTACGGGCTGCATCAGAAAGAAATACTTAAATGCCTAGCAGGCGCTCTTAGTTTTGCACAGGGGCTTGTTGCATGCCCCAATCTGCAGCTAGAATAAACGGTTATGGACGTAAGAAAGTTATTTTTTTTCCAGTTGATGGATGCGTCGGAGAGGTGACAATAATTTTCGATCATCTTGTGTAGTTCGTCCAGGGATTTTTTGGTGTTTGTGCATAATACCAGGAGGTCGTGAGTTATGGCGTTGCACTTCCAATGTAGATTCGGGGTAAGTTTGAGTCTCACTATAGATTCATTGTACATGATGTTGTCAATGAATATTTCCAACTGTACTAGAAAGAGTAGAGGTGTCAGTGGGCAGCCTTGTCTTAGTGACCTTGATAGCGGAAAGCTTGATGACATTTTGCAATTTACATTTACTACACCTGTTGCTTGCGAATACATAGTTTGTACCCATCTGCAGAAAGACTCTTCAAAATTCATGTGTTTCAATCCTACTTTATCATAAGTATTTTAAAGGTCCACAGTCGTTGCTTGTGAATACATAGTTTGTATTCACAAAGTTTGTACCCAAATGCAGAAAGACTCTCCAAAATTCACGTGTTTCAAGGTAGTGGTCACAAAGGTCCGTCCTACTTTATCATTAACCTTTTAAAGGTCTAACAGGATGACTGTTACTTCTCATTTCTCGTTATCGATAATCTCTAATGTTTGGATGGTTGTCAAGATATTGTCGAATATGGACCGTCCTTGAACAAAGGCGCCTTGTTCACTTCTGGTTAATTGGGGGTCGATACTTAGCTAACCTCAAGGCTAAGGTTTTTGCAAGAATTTTGTAGGCAACGTTTAAAAGGGAAATTGGTCGTCAGTTGCGTACCTTTCTTTTGTCCCCTTTCTTGTACAGTAGAGTGATGATCCCTTTAACCCATCCTGTTGATAATTGTTTGTCCTCTAGTAAGCCATTGTAGATATGTAATAGGAACGGGCATCTAGCTTCCCATGTAGCTATGAAAAATTTTACTGGGAGGCCGTCTGGGCACTTTCCAAGTGTCATTTGGCCAGCTGCGTGTTTGCATTCTTCTAGGGAGAATGGTCTGTCCAAGTCCAACCTTGCATGGTGTGAGAGGCAGATCCTAGAGCGATTTCAAAAGTTTGGATTTTGGGAGAGATCTGAATTGAAACCTTTGTCTGATCTGCGTGTGGTGAGAATATCCTTGAAGTAGTCGACCGCATAAGAGCACATGTTTACTGGCGTCGTGGCCCCAGAGTTCTCTGTTCATTGAATGGGTGTGAGAGTTCCCGCATTAATGGTCTAGAATTCTTGGTGAGCAGCGTTCTGAAGGTCAATTTGGTCATCCCGTCAAAGCCCAGGATACCCCTATTTCTTAACCATTCCAGCAATTGTTCCTGTCGCCGGATCTTTAGTTTTTCTAGCTCGTGTAACAGTGATTTTTATATCTTCGACCAATAGCAGTTTGCATAAACATCTTTTCCAAGGTTAGCTTATGCTTCTGAAATTTTTCTTTTTATTTCTTATTCTTTTTTAATTTTATTTCCTCCTTTGATTTGTGAAAAGACATTCATGGCTGTTTGTATGATTCTAAGATTGGTGTCGGTCCATTGTTCTTCGTCGTTAAGAAACTCTTTGGCCTCTGGCCACTTGATCATATGTTTCATCACCAGTTCACAATGTCTGGGTCTTGAAGGTGACTAACGTTTAATCTGAAAGCACCTTTCTGTTTTTCTTTGTTTGAGTTAGTTAAAAATGTTGCCGCCACCGGATAATGGTCGAAAATATTTGACACTTGTGTTTCTACACTTATGTTGTTCTCACACAAGGAGCCTCGGGCAAAGAAAAAATATAGTCTTCTTCTAGGTCCTAGTCGGGAACTTAAAATTTGTGGTCCAAACCAGGTGTATCCTGGGGTGTCTGGGTTC